GGTCCCGAGACTCGGAGCGTGCGAGGTGCTCGTGGTTCGCCACCGAGCCGATGAGGGACCTCGTCGCTCGTCCTGGCGACTCGGACGAGCCGGTGTCGCCCGTGGCTGCCGAGTGGGACGGCGAGAGCGGCGAGGGAGCGGCCGAGGCGAGCTCGAGCGCGTCCTGGAGCGACTTGAGCGACGACGAGACGTGGCTCATCTGGTTGTTGTTTGGGCCGGCGTGTGGTTTGTTTACTTCGGCGATCGGCGATAGCGAGACGAGAGTTACGACAGGGTGCGCGAGCAGAGTGGGAGGAACGAGAGAGAGGGGAGGAGGCGAGCAAGCGAGTTTTTCCCAGAGTCAGCTCTGTGAGCAGTGCAGCACCTCAGAGCAGAGGGCGGGCACCCATCAGCAGGCGGGGAGCACTCAGTGGCGGCGGCGGCGCGCAGACTCAGAGACATTCGCGTGACTCTGCGATCAAGGGGGCTGGTCGGGCGCAAACATCGTAACGGTCGGGCATGGTGAGACACACAAGGGGACGTACTAGCCGTGCCTGGCCTGCCAAACTGCACAAGAGGGGGCTGGTCCGACTCAAGAAACTCGTTCCATCGCCCGGGGAACTTGCGGCGCTCAGGCTTCCTTCCCCGCTAACGTGGCCCTTTGTTCGCCCTGAATTGCCTGCATTCCGACAACAAGAGCAGTCAAACAATCGTTTGTCGGCTTGTGGAAGGTGTGTGCGAAGTTACGCGTCCTAGGGTCGGTTGATCACAACAACACAGCGATTCTACGGCGTCGACCCGTCGACGATCATGAAGTTGCGGCAACAGTGACCGATGTGCTGGTTCCCGACCAGTCGTGGATTGTGCAGAGCAGGAATCAACAGCTTTTATTTTTCACTTGGGGTCAAGCTGTCAGGCTGGACAGCTTTCCTCGACCGGCAACTTTGACACGTCACTTCGTTGGAACGGAAATCAACAAAGCAGACAACTTCAACTTCAGCTAGCGTCATCCCTTCCGTAGTTTCCCACCTCAACTTGTGTCTCCGCTGGGCTTTGTTCAACAAATGACCAGCGAGAGCTCCGAAGCCCGGGCAGACGTGCGAACGTTCGGCAGAAGAGACGACGAGCGGGATCATCCGTCGCTCTACACCCAGACTTCTCAGTCCATACTAGATATTTTTTAACACCTTTGGCCTTTGTCCATCAATCCATCGGCAGCATTCACGAATGTTGTCCCAAAAATACTCCCGATTTACGGGCACTTCTCTACGCCAAGGCCGGACGCGTCTCCGGACTTACCTCGTCCATTCGTGTTGCTTCCCTCTATCCTTCACTCTCGCTCAATCATCAACACTAAACCCCCGCGATCTACAGCAACTCTCAAGCTCACCTTTGGCGATGCTGGCGGAAGACTGGGCGACCACTGAAGATATCCCCGTCGACGCCGCCGCGAATGGTGCGGGTGGAGGTCCGCCAGACCCAACAAGTGGGGGCAGTGAAGGGTCGACCTCGAAGGCCTCTACGAGGATCATCGCATGTGCTCCCTGTCGTATCGTAAGCTCTTCACTCTCTAGCACTGCTTGATCAGGAAGCTGAGAGGAAGCAAACAGCGGAGGGTGAGATGTGACAAGCGGTACCGGGACGGTGCGATGGACTGTGAGCGATGCGAGAAGAAGGGGATACTGTGCGTGAGCTGCGTACTCTCTTTCCCCTACCTGGACCGTCGCTGATCGTGGTCCAATCGTGCAGGCGGCGCTCCCGAGTGGTCGAAGTCGGAAGCCATACCAGCGCTCAGGACCAAGGCTCGAGCTCGCGACGTAAACGCTTTACCTGAGCTTACTCTCTTTTTACATTTGAGCTGACTGTCAAAACAGTGCAATATACGGAGGGACTACATCCACAGCTTCCACGAAGCCATTAGGGAGAACGGAAGGAAAGGGGAAAGAGTGCGGTGTTTTGCGACAAGAACCGCACCACACGCTGACATGGTCCCTTCAGGAAAGCTCTTAATGCCTCAACTAGCTTCTCTATCGCCGCTGTGCCCAACAAGCTCGCATGCAGCGAGCTGCAGTCCGCGCTGATCACGTCGCTTGTGGATGAGTGTATGCCATGGTGTCATTTTTGAGCTGATTGAAACCGATTGCTGATGCCCTCCATTCTCGTAGTTCTGGATGGCCATGTAAGCTTGCTTTGTAAAAGGGTCCCGCAGCCGCTAATCTCTGGTATCCACAGCATGAGCCTTTGATCAGCAGCACCGGCTTTGTTGCAGCCTACAACGTCGCCGGGAGACGTCCGGATCGGCTTGAAGGCCAAATGCGAGTTCGTTAGATGTTTTTCCTCCCATTGAAATGCTCAAGTAGCTCATCTGCTCTCGCCCCATCAGGTTCTATGTCCCGCCATCGCCGCATTAGCAACACGAACTACGTCAAACCCCCTGATAATTGGCTCGGGCACTGCGCCGGAAGTCAACGACGATATCCGACTGCACAGCAATCCCATCCGCTTTGGACAATCCAAATCCCGTGTTTGCCTCCCTTTGGTGTCAATGGCGATTTCAGAGGCGGATCTGAATGCCACGTTCCGACTACCCAGTCGAGACGGAATCGCGGCACTCCTCATGCTGGAACCGCTCGTAGCATGTGAGTGTGCACAGTCTATCATAAATGTTAAGTGGGTACTAAGTCAATGTTCTTAGGCCTGCAAGACGAGGGCCAATTAGTCAACACTGTTGGCACTCGCACGTTCGTCACTACCTTCGTCAGCCACTTCCAGGAGTTGATCCACACAGATGGCGAGGTGGACGCTTTGGTCGCGTGGACGACACTGGCTAGAGACTGCATTGGTAGCTCTACCACTGGTAGACACCAGCTAGTTAGTGAGGACGACTTGAAGCTGATCCGGGGTAGCTTAGAGGTATGGCTGATCTCCTTCATAACCTGCGGTGAGCTGTTGGGAGAGCTGATTGAGAAACACCTCCTTGACAGGGCCACGAGTCTTATTTTGAATGGCCTCGGCCTTTTTATGGAGTTGGAACCTTACCTTTGGCCGGCCCTGCGGATCCGCTCGACGTCTTCAACAGCACTTTCACCTCCCTTCTCCGCCACGTCATGGAGTCGTATCGATTCACGGCTTACATCTTCCGGACTAGTAAACCGTCAACTGCTCTCTAACTTTATTCTCCAATCATCTGACCCTTTATTCATAGACCAAGCTCGACGAGCCCGGCTGAACGAGGCCGCATTCACAACGCACCTCTCCTCCGTCGACTTCGCGTTGCTCGCCTTGTCGCCGCTCTGGAAAGTCGCGAGCGAAGCCAACGTCCTTCAGATCACTCATGTGACGCAGTTTATCCGCTCCCTCACTTTGCTCGTCTGCTTTCATGCGTTCCTCGGGCCGTGGATCATCCAAGAGCGGTTGGATCGGCGCTGGCAGGCTCGCGGTGCTGGGAGCGAGAGTTGGGAAGATCGAGATGACGAAGAGTATTGGGCGCGGGTATCGGAGCTCGGGGACCTAGCAAAACGTCATGGGTTCTCGGCTGCTAGGCAATTCGTGGCTGTGCTTCGCTTGCCAGGGGTGAGTAACGTTTTCTGCCGACAGAAGGGTGGTCAGAGCTGACGTGTTTGGTTATCAGGGATCAGAGTTGGGTGGCCGCAACGGCATTGGCTCTATCCACTATTGCGGTCTGGATGCTCAAGCCATCGTGTTCAATGACGTCCCGTCGTGGGCCGCGTTCCTCGTCGACACTCCCGCTTTCGAACAAGGCGGACCTGCGGGGTTCTCGTTCGACACCAAGATAGCGGATCTGGAGACGTGCGCTAGCTCTCATTCTCTTCTTTCTTGCCAGTAACACATCTAATTGTAAGATTCACAGGCTGATTGACAATCTCCGCTCGACCATGTTCTACCAAGCGCGAACGAAATACATAGAGGCGACTACGTGGCTTGTAGAGCAGCTTGAGGCCGTCAAGCAGCAGCGGGACGCCTTGCAGAAGTAGATACGAGCTCTCACAGAGCTTCAAAATAACTCTGGTTCTTGGTTCATACCATAGTCCGCAAGGCAGAAAGAGAACGGCTCCGAGACTTTCATTTTCTCGCTCGTCGTTCCGAGCTCGCACCTGCTCTTCCGCTTGTCTTTGACTGCAAACCGGAAGTTGCTCTTGAGAAAAGATTTGCTTTGGGCAAGGAGCCCACGCTCTTCCAACTGAGCTAAGGAGAGCTTTTGTGTGAGAGCGCACTACGCTTTTGTCGTGACGAGCTGACTGACCGGTGTGGCGGGCCTTGGCCGGTTACTTGGGGAGGGCACTCCCATGATGATAGACAGCTTTGTTTCAAGTATGACTGACTGTCTCACGAGATGCAGAATTCTCCCCACACGCCATGCCACGTCGTCGTGAGCCTCACACTCGCTCACTGTTTTGCACGCGGTTTTTGTCCCGTTTTGATCCGAGCCTTGGTGTTTCAAAGCAGGTCGATCATCATGCTGAATTCAACGCAATGCTGTCATGCTTGGACGCGGTAGCGGCGCGCACTGAAGCGACGGTGTGAATGGTCAAGAAACAGCATGCAGCAAGGTGCAGAGAGGATCAAGCTTCTTCTAGGTGCCTGCCAAGTCATGCAGACCGTCAAGACACCTGTTCTTGCAGCACCAGTCAAAAATAGCTACACGAACCGCATTCAAAGACTCACCGGTGCCTCCGCTTCCACTGCTTTCCAGTCTCGCCCCTTCGACGGCACCGACTTTGCATGCCACGTGTCTGACTGCATGCCGTTTTGACGCGGGTGCCGCCGCAAGAGCCGATCGTTGTAATGGTCTCAAAGAAAGCTTGGATTCATTTCTACATGACGTGCCCATTGTATCATTTCCACGGCCTCCAATCAGGGCCCAACGCGCCGCACAAGGGCGTTCTTACCGCGCGCGCGCTCTAAATCGCAAATTTTTTTGTATCTAACATCTCAAATTTTCGTCCTTCCGACTAGAGATGATGTGTATGACACTTTGTAGCACGATGTCACGTGATTTTCTCTCCTTAGCTCAGTTGGAAGAGCGTGAGACTGTAATTGGTTGCGAATTGTGTATCTCAAGGTCCTTGGTTCGATCCCGAGAGGGGAGAAACGTCTCTTTTTGCCGCCTTCAGACACTTTTGGTGTCCAAAGCGATGTTTGGGGAGGTGTTTGATCGTTTTTGCGGGGTTTCGGGGACGCGAGGAGCGGTATGAAGACCGCACGTGTGGCGCGCGACGCGTATCAACGCTGGTGCGGCGTGCAGGCCCACCAACAATAGGGCAACGTACAGAAAAGCACACGTAGGAGGTACTGGGCCAATCTGGTGGTACTTTGACTTCATTGCTTTGCTCGTTGCCACCACGAGAAGCCCGTCCATGGGGGCCGCTGCAAGTGCGCTTTCCCGTCTGTTTGGAATGAGCTCGCCTAAATAAGTCTTGTTGCATGGTCAAGAGCGTCCTTTTTGCGTTACTATCTTTTCAGATAGTCCAAATCACCTCTGGAGGGCTGCCATAGGTCTGGTAGCCTGGCCACGTGTGGATGACACAGACGCTTCTTCAACGTTCTGAGCAGACCGCGAAACGCTTGAATGCAGGCTGTTGAGCGCTTCATCGCATAGAGCATATTTGACTTTGCCAGTGACGCACGTTTGAACCAGCGCCAAAGTCCAGCGGAACCGACCCACGTCCGCTCTCGCCGATCCTCAGACCTTTGCAGTTAGACTCGACCTCGTAGATACATCGAACTGAAGATGTCATTCACAGCTCGTCCTTGACTGGTACCTCCTTCTTCTCATCCATCGTCGCGGGGGCGGGTGGTGGAGGAGGGACAGGGTCGGCAGCAACAAAGTCGACGACGATGCTCTTGACCTGCCCAATCACTCGCTTGCACGCCATCGTCCAAACCCCACAGGCGATCCCACCTGAACAGTCCCATGATTAACCTCCCTGTCTCCTTGCTATCTCACTCAACCGAAGAGAAGATACTCACCGAGAGGAGCGCCAGGCAAAGAGAGGAACCACGTCAGTCCGCCGAACCAGCCTGGAGGGAGATAGATGACGGCGGCTTTGCGGTGGTAAGAGGTAAGAATGAAAGGTCCAGCGGTAGTGACGATCCACAAGAGCGAGGTGATCAACCTCGTAAAGTTCGCCGTCGAGGCCGACGAGGTCTGGGCTGCTCGCACGAGCAACCGGCCGGTGTCGTCAGCTCACGCGTGCGGCCACAGGAAAGGGAAAGTGCACGCACTCAGATTCTCGAGGTCTGCGACTCCCTTGTCAAGCTTCCTCCTCAACTTGGCCCATTTCGCAAACTCGGACTGAGCGCTCGTCGCCGCGAGCTCGGATTTGAGCTTGAGGATGTCGGCTTTGAGCACGCGCTGCTGCTTCGAGTGAGGGGTCGGGGAGAAGATGGTTTTGATGTTATGGCACTAGTAGAGAGTGTGCAAAGTGAGCTTAGGCGCGTCAGTTGGCGGATAGAGGAGGACGGACGTAGGTGGCGATCTTGGAGTGGCCGATCCACGAGAGGATCTCGACGCCGAGCGTGATGAAGAAGAGGAGGATCGGGAGTGGCACGGTCATCTTGTGAAACTATCTCCAGTTATACTCCCGCTACGATGTAGCGAAGTTGCCGGAGATTCAAGGTGAAGGGCGGAGGTCAACCCGCGCGAGACGAGCCGCCAAGGTTGACGTTCGACACTACGCTCGCCCATCACCCTCACCTCACAACTCGCATTACTTTACTGGGCTCCGAGATGTACTCGAACGGCAGATCAGGTGCGCTTCAACCCTCCTGCAACTCGCCGCTTCGAAGCAGCTCATGACCCCTCCGAACGCACTCGCAGACGAGCCGCCGCGCAAAAAGTCCAAGTGGGACGACCTCGCCCAGGAGGAAGACGAAGCGGCAGAAAAGGAGAAGAAGCGACAGAAGAAGGCTCAGCAGCTGCAGATCAAGCTTGCAAAGGAGCGCGAGGTCCTCCTCGGCACCGCGAGCAGGGAGCCCACGCCGTCGTCGAGCTCGGGCGGGAGGGCGGTGGGCTCACCGAGGCCAGGGGCGGTGATGAGGAAGGAGAAGGGTGTCAGGAGGACGAGGGACATGCATCCGTTGCTTGAGAGCTGCCGGAGCGTGTACTGCTACGAGGTGCGTTTGCTCGTGTTGTTTGTTTGTTGTGTGGTGCTGACTTGAGAATCTGGCGATGCAGAGGCTCAACCATATCGAGGAAGGATCGTACGGCATCGTGTTCAGAGCTCGGTGCAAGGAGACGGGTGCGATCGTCGCACTCAAAAAACTCAAGATGGACAAGGAGAAGAACGGGTTCCCCATCACCAGCTTGCGCGAGATCCAGACGCTTATGGTGGCCGCCCACGAGAACATCGTGCGAGTAAGAGAGATTGTTGTCGGTGATACTCTGACTCAGTGCGTACGGGTGGCCTTTCTAGCGCTATGCAGACGCTGATTCTCAACGCGCAGGGTGTTCATCGTAATGGACTTTATCGAACACGACCTCAAGCAACTCCTCTCCTCGATGCCGACCCCGTTCCTCGCATCAGAAATCAAGACGCTCCTCCTCCAACTCCTCTCGGCCATGGCGCTCTGCCACGACAACTGGATCGTCCACCGCGACCTCAAGACGTCCAACCTCCTCATGAACAACCGCGGGCAGATCAAGGTCGCCGATTTTGGACTCGCGAGGACGTACGGAGAGCCGCTGGGAGATATGACGCAACTAGTCGTGACGCTGTGGTATCGGTGCGTCTTGAGTCGCTTCAATGTTACCGACGCCGGGAGATCACGTGGCTGACGCTTGTGCTGCTCCCCTCGTCCCGTCTTTGTCAACGAAGAGCTCCGGAACTGCTCCTCGGAGCGACAGAGTATACCACTGCGGTCGACATGTGGTCCATCGGCTGCATCTTCGGCGAGCTAATCCTCAAGGAGCCGCTCCTACCCGGCAAGGGCGAGATTGATCAAGTCAGCAAGGTGCGTTATAGCCGAGACGATCGCAAGCGTGCCCTCATCTCAACACCTTCAATTGTAGATTTTCAAGCTTTTAGGTCGACCTACGGAAGAAATGTGGCCAGGGTTCTCAAAGCTTCCCAACGCGAAGAACTTCAACATTCAAGCCGCTCAGCCGTTCGTCCCACCCTCTTTCACCTTTCCATCCCCAGACTCTAACCGACCGGGAACTTCAGATACTCCACCCTCCGCCAGACTTTCAAGTATCTTTCGGAACAAGGACTCGACCTCCTCTCCCAGCTGCTGGCCTACGACCCCGAGAAGCGCATTTCGGCCGAAGAGGCGCTTAAGCATCCTTACTTCACCGAGAGCCCACTTCCAAAACACAGCGATCTGTTCAGTAGCTTCCCGAGTGTTGCTGCTGGCGAGAAGTGCGTTTTCTTCGGACAAAGATGTTGGGCTTGCGCTGACGTGGTGTTTGTGCTCCCAGGAAGAGCGTGTTTGCAAGTCCGTCGGCTCCGGCCAGGGAGGATAAGTGAGTTGATGGCGTTTTGTCGGACACGTTCCTAACGCTGACAGTTTTTCTACAGCAACCAATACGACCTTGTGTAGCGCGACTGGCCGTTCACCCATATGAGGATGACGACAATCAAACGTTATGCACTGCATATTGCAACATGACTGCTGTCAAGCTAATTATGCTGAAAACTATGCATCTCTTTGAGGTCGTCCAGTAGACCAAGTCAGCTTTGTGTACTGCCCAACGTGCGAGACACAAGCGTCAGGCCGACGACGTGGCATTGGGTCGTGACTAACGTGTGAGGAGAACATACTTGAACCAAATCTGTCTATCTTCATGGGAGTGACCTCTCTAAATAACCGGCCTTTTTTTGTATCTAACATCTCAATTACAGAGAGGCTCCATAAGGGAGAAGAAGGGGTACAGGGTCAAAACCGGCCTTTTTTTTTTTTTGTATCTAACATCTCGATTACAGAAGAGCTCCATAAGGGAGAAGAAGGAGTACAGGGTTAAATGCCTTTACGCACACCAAGCTATCTTGGTAGTGTGGGACTCCATCTAGTGTCGATAATACCCACTAAAACCGGGAGAAGGGAAGAGAGGAGGGAGGAGGGAGTTAAGGTGAGGGGGTGTGGATCTTGCTGGCTAGGCGGGAGAGGGCGGGCTGGTCGATGGGGAGGAGAGGAGTGATGGTGGAGAACCGTCGTGATCTCGAGAGCTTCCAGATGTGGTGAATGTAGCGGATTTGGAGGAGGATGGAGGGAAGGGTGGCGTTGGAGGGGGAGGGTGGGCAGATGAGTTGTTGGAGGGTGGGGTGGGGCTGGGTTCCTTCTGTTGCTAGTTTCCAAATTTCAATAGATACTTCGCATTCTATGAAGATATGGATAATGGACTCAGCTTTGGTGGTAAGGCAGACCCTGCAGTGAGGAGTGCCGTTGTTGGGGAAGGAGGCTGTGCTGGAGGCTGTGCTGGGCTGTGTGGGGGGTGGGTTTGGCCGCTACCTGGGTTCCTGGGTGGAGGGATCGGAGGGATAGAAGGTGGGCTGTGTTGGTCTCGTCTGGAAGGATGTGGCGTGGCTTTTTGAGGAAGATCCAGTACGCTTTCCAGTGTTGAGCCTGGAGGGAAGGAGAGGGAGGCCAGGGAGGATAAATTATGGAAAAGGAGGCTTCAGTGAAGGAAGCGGTGGACTTGGCAAAGGAAGTGACACTTAGCTGGTTACCACTCCATGATTCACGGAACCATTTGTAGGGAATAGTGAGAGTGTGGCGGTTGGAGAGTTGGGGGTTGAGGACTGAGGTGGACCACTCGATTCTGGAGGAGGAGAGGGAAGGAGAGAGCGTGACTGAGGCTTCCCATGCAAGGAGATATTGTTGCCATCGATCTGGTAAGTCGTTCTTGAGGGCTGTGTGGGTAGAGAGCCAGTGGTCGTCCTGAAATGCGGGAGAGCAGGGGAGGCAGAAAAGGGCCCACCAAGTCCACTCCCTCTTGGGCGCATTCCGCAACAACGGGTTGTCGGAATATAGTCGTTGCCGGAGTAGAGTGTCCTTGATAGGTATAGATCGTATTGCCCGGAGATGGCGGGTTTCCCACGACGAGGAGGGGAGGAGATCGAGAATCCACTGAGCCCTGGGGCCCTGTAGT